TGTATTGGAATGATTTTATTCTAACAGCAATATTTCTAATAAATAGGACACCCACTCATATTCTAGACAACAAAACACCATTTGAAGTTCTTTTCAAAACCAAACTAGTCTATTCTAATCTGAGGGTGTTTGGTTGCCTAGCTTTTGCTGCCACCCTTCCACACAACAGACACACGTTTGACTTAAGGGGAAGAAGGTGTGTTTTCATGGAATATCCATTTGAACCAAAGAATATAAACTGCTTCACTTGGAAACTAACAAACCCTTTATATCAAGAAATGTGGTATTCCATGAAAACGTTTTTCCCTACAAAAGCTGCAAAATCTAAGATCATAATGATGCTTCAAAACCTATTCATAAGCTGCCAATTCCTACCAACTTGGCTTATCCTGAACCAAGTAACAATAACCTAGATTATCCTATCAGTTCCAACTCTCAGCCACAAATGGAATGAACATAAGATTCCAATCAAAATATGGAGCTTTCAGAAATCAGCTAACCTCCTGCTGAATTAGAGTCATCGCCTGAAGTCTCAGGTAATTCTCATATCCCTCGAAGGTCTGACAGAAATAGAAAAACACGTACTTATTTACAAGATTTCATTTGCCAGCAAGCATCCTCACTCACTTATTCTCAAGAGTCCAACAAGAAGAAAGGCACTATGACTTCAGGTAGCCCATATCCCTTGTATGCAACACTTTCATATCACAAATTGTCTAACAAGCATAAAGTCTTTGCCTAATCTATACTTACACATCCAGAACCATCAACTTATCAAGAAGCTGTCAGTCCCCTGAATGGTGTAAACTTATACAGGCTGAAATATATGCTCTCGAGCTAAACAAGACCTGGAATGTAATTGAATTGCCATCTGGAAAGGTTCCTATAGGGCGCAGATATGTTTATAAGATGAAGTTCAATGCTAATGGAACAATTGAGAGGTATAAAGCAAGGCCAGTGGCAAAATGACACACTCAGTTGGAAGGAATAGATTACCTTGAGACTTTCTTACCTATGACCGTAAGAACATTACTTGCAGTGGCAACTGTAAATGGTTGGTATTTACATCAATTTGATGTAAAGAATGCATTTTTACTCGGAGACTTAGAAGAAGAAGTTTATATGCAAATCCCTCCTGGCTATTCTGTTAATAGAACTTCAAAAGTTTGCAAACTCAATAAAAGTTTATATGGTTTAAAGCAGGCATCTCGTCAATGGTACTCAAAGCTATCATTTTTTATAATCATTGAACAAGACTTTCATTAATCTAAGGTAGACTACAGTTTGTTCACAAAAAGCGCAAATGATTCTTTTACAGCCATACTGGTTTATGTTGATGACATAATAATGGCAGGTGATAATATTGAAGTTATCAATTCCCTTAAATATCTGCTTGATGATAAGTTTAATATTATGGATTTGGGGAACTTGAAATACTTCCTTGGGATAGAGGTAGCTAGATCGACAAAAGGAATTCAAATTTGCTAAAGAAAATATGCGCTAGATATTCTAGCAGATTCAGGTACCAATGGAGTCACTCCAGCCAAAATCCCACTTGATCAAAATATCAAGCTGTCCAAAGATGAAGGTGAGACTCTTTCTGATCCAGCACCATATAGAAGATTAGTGGAAAGACTACTCTACCTGACAATCACCAGACCTAATCTATGATACTAAGTGCATTTGTTGAGTCAATACATGCAAAATCCTAGAACATCATACCTGAATGCTGCACATAAGGTGCTCAGATACATCAAGAGAGTACCAGGCCTAGGATTTTTGTTCTCCTCATCCTTAAGTTTACAATTTAAAGCCTACACTAATTCGGATTGGAGGGGATGTCCAGATTCTAGGAGATCAATAACAGGATATCGTGTCTTTATTGGTTCTTCACTAATATCTTGGAGATCCAAGAAATAAAACATTGTTTCTGGATCATCAGTAGAAGTGGAATACAAGGCTATGGCAGCTGTTTGTTGTGAGCTAACGTGGCTTAGATATGTTCTTGATGAATTACAAATTTCACACCCACAACCAGCTGAATTATTTTGTGATAATCAAGATGCCTTACACATTACAGCTAATCCAGTGTTCTATGAAAGAACGAAGCACATTGAATTGGATTGTCATCTAGTATGTGACAAGATATAAGAATGAAGCACAATTACGAGATACGCGAGGGCTGCCTCACAAATTGCTGACATTTTTACTAAACCCCTATGTTCAGACATCTTTCATTCACATTTGTCCAAGATGGGAGTAGAAAACATTTACTCTCCATCTTGAGGGGGCTGTTGAAATATAAAATCGAGAACAAGGAAAGAGCTAGAAGAATGTAGAATATGTTGGAATGGAGGCTGCTGCCACTTGCTGCAAGGAGATAGAATAGATTCCAAAATTCAGTTGTAGTGCTAATGTATAACATATTTTTTGTTTTGCCACCTGCACAAATTTGTTTTAAGTTATGTATATATATTCTTGTAACGTTCTTCCCAATTTATCAATATATGAAAACAGAGCAGAACATTTTCCTCTTCTTCTTTTACTCAGAATTCAATTCGGCATTGTTCTTGTTTAATTGATAAGCAATCAGTTAGTTGATTTTCTTATATGATATCGAGCTAGAATGGCCGATAATGATAGTACTAGCATTACTAATACAGATCAGAATCCAACACTAGCTCATAATTCAAATCCAAACTCTCACGATCCATCCTTTCCCAACAGTCCATATTTCATTGGTGCAAATGATAATTCTGGAGCATTGTTGGTAACTCGGATGCTTGATTCTAGTAATTATCATTCTTGGGCAAGATCTATGAAAAGAGCTCTTCGAATAAAAAACAAACTTGGGTTCATTGATGGAAGTCTCTAGGAGCCTGCTGATATCTATAGTCCCTTGATGGAGCATTGTCTTTGATGTAACAATATAGTTATCACCTGGCCGAAAACACCTTGACAGTAGACATTTAGGCCAGCACGCTATATGCTGAAACAGCATACCAATTGTGGCTGGAATTGGAACAGCATCTAGCTGTTATTTTTCCTCACTACTGTTATTTTTTCCTTTAATACTTATATACGAGTTTTGTTAATATCTGTTTCATTATTAATTTTTAATTGTTTACAATTGTAATGGTTTATATTTGTCCATTGCAAAACTAACTTATTCTATTATTGCATCGCTAAAAAAGTATTAAATAGTTTTTCAAAAAAATTCAAAATAACAATATTAATAAAAAAAATTTAGTACCAAAATTAAAAGAGAAAACTTTTTACTTTAGTTAAAAGAAACAAAGAAACAAAAATGAGTGTACATTTCGAAAGTCCAATTTCACAACTAGCTATTAGCCTACTCTACGTGTATAGAGTAGGAAATTAAGCCCATGTTTGGTGTAGTCAACATGCATTTTGCTAAGAATTGATAAAATATGAATTGAAAATTTGTGAATTCCATAAACTATATTAAAATTAATTGTTAATTGTTGATTGACTTAAATTTATATCAAGATTTTAATACACACCAAACAGGGGCTAATATTAATACACTAGCGCAAAAGCTATATTTGTTATTTACATTTGTAGCTAAAATATTGAGAACAATATTTATCTGATTAATTTCAATATTTATAATTATATTGCAAGCTAATTTTAATGCAAATCGATGCCACAAAAAAAGAAAAGAATAAATATTTCATAAAAATCAGCTTTCTTATGAAATCCCTTCTTTACTTTTAAATCAATTGGTGGACATGGTGGATCTAGTATGGGATAGGGGGGTCTGCTACCCCTACACTCAATTTCAAATTTTTAGTCAACAAATTAAATAGATCTTAGTAATACGATTTTGCCGCCACAATTAAAATTTTGTACTTTAAAAATGTTAAGACTAAGCCCCTGTTTGGCACCCATTAAATTCCATTACATTATATTAAATTTTTCTCTTTCTTCATTACAACCACACATTCATCAAATAAAATAATATTACACACAAATCTAAAACTTTTCACTACTTTTTCACCACACATTCTTCCATCAATCACTATTTCAAAAATTTACAACCATAAAAAATGTACAATAATGGGGGCCAAACAGGAGCTAAATGATATTTCTTTTTGCTCATTCTCATATACCGTGTAAATTGTAAAATGAGGAAAGAGGAAAATTTTTGAACTTTGAAGAATAAACAAAGCTATGAGAAGAGAAACTTAAGAAATTTGAAGTTTGAAGAAAAAACAGGACATTGAAATTTTCGGTAAATGTGAGTTAACTTTTTCATTTTCTTTTGCTAAATTAAAGGATTACCTTTTCTGGGTCAAAAAATAATTGCATTTTTGAGGTTTTCAATTTTGAGACTTTTGAGTTTGCTAAAAATACAGATTTTTATAGTTCTCTCTCTCTCTCTCTCTCTCTCACTTAACGTGCTCCTACAATTTTACAATCCTATCTCCGCACTTGGTTCTGGGAAACTGAAAATTTCACATATGTTGTAGAATAACTGGAGTATTGAATTTGTTGCTAAATTTAACCTTCTATTTTTCATTGCGCATATCATATATTACAGATTTCACAACATACAATATCAGGCGTTGATTCCCTCGAATGACATTTTTTAAAATTCAAAATTAAAGAAGCTCATATATAGATAGGGGGATTACATTCATAGCACGCAAGGCTCTATCACTTACTTTCTTAGAATTAATGTATATATATTAAGATGTCTGAAGTCAAATAAATTAGTTAATTAACAGTTATGTATTAAATTTCTTAGCAATTTGATGATGCTAAACAACAACTTTAGATTTCTTTTAGTTTTCTATATATAGTTTGCATTATGGCTTTCAATTTTATCTATTTGTCTCAAGATTAGCTCATAAATTGTTCTTGAAATGGGTTCTCGAGGTTTTAGAATATGGATTATGATATCCATTGTAGTACCAATAATTTTGAAATCCCAAAATTTCGTTATGGCTCAAAAACAAGTTCCCTGCTTATTTATTATGGGAGATTCACAGTTTGATAATGGCAATAATAATTTACTTACCACACAAGCGAAGGCTAATTATCCACCTTATGGAATTGATTATCCATATGGTCCTACGGGCAGATTCACCAATGGTCGAAATATTGCAGATTTCTTAGGTATATTTTCATTTCTCCTCCATTTAATTTTAATTAGCCATGATGATACTTAATAACATGTTTAGTTGAACGATTCTACAATATTTGATAATATTAACTTTTTTTCCTATAACCATGCAGGGGAATTCTTAGGTTTCGACAAGCCAACTTCACCATTTGTAACTGCAAACGGCTCGGAGATCCAAGAAGGTGTAAATTATGCATCGGGTGGAGCAGGAATTCTCGACAACACTGGACAACAACTGGTAATCAATTTCTCGTCCTAAGACTCTTGTTTACTAGCTTCATGTATTTTAGTAAATAATAGTGAATTTATTGAAGTGGTAAAAGAGAAATTGTGTAGTAGATTACAGTAGAATCTATTACTGTGGACATGTTTGGCAAAGTTTGTTTGAAAAATAGTTTCAATGACACACTTTGAGCTATATTTTTAGCAGGATACGAATTCTGAAATTAACGAAACCAAATATATTCATTTTCTACTATGCGAGATGATTAAAACGATTTAATTTTTTGTCAAAAATCATCAAGATTTGAAGGAAATATTTGATTTCAAAGTTATTTACTTGAAACGTGAAATGTTGAATAATTTGATTAGATTGATAAAATTTGTCCCACATAGGAAATTTGCGGGAAATGTTTGGTTTATAAGGTGGTGGAAGTTTGGTCTTGGGTTTGAACCTGAAGGGTACCTAATTTTGCGGAAAGAGAGCTTACCTAGATATTATTAGGTGATATTATTAGGTCCAAACTATGCGCCCGTTGCTTCCTTACATATATATTTTTGGAAAAAAAAAATTAAAATTTTCTAATAATTTTTTTGGGTTAAATTGTAATTAATCAAATTGTTGAGTGCTAAATGAAATTACATTCCCACAGTCTTTTAAACTCAAACTGTTGACTACTTTCGCAGAATTTTTCTGGGTGTAATCGACATCTTCTGTAGCAGATATCTGTGATCAACGCAATCGATGTCTGTAACTGACATCAACATACGTTTAGTTTCGATTTAGACATAAATCTATGTATGTTTGAAAGGTTATTTGAGCACTCACCACTTTTATAAAGAGGCTTGTAGGTTATTTTAATGGCCACGAATAATCTTCAAATAACCTCTTTTTATTCCAGAAAAAAATTATACCATTTTCAAATTCAAGTATTCGCACTTTGAATTTCTATTCTCTCTAAGTTCTGGTTCTATTTTTCGAGTTGAAAAATAATGTATTGAGTTCGTTGGAACTCTTGCTGGTTGATATGCTGCTTTGATAAGAGATGAAATTAATTTTACCCTAAGAAACGATTGCTGATTACCTTTAAACACTTTTAAGAAACGATTACTGATTACCTTTAAAACACTTTTAAGAAACGATTGCTGATTACCTTTAAATACTATAGAAGTGAGAAAATTCGCCTTAAGGATAGATTGGGAAGTCAGTCAACTCAAATTAAGCCAGTGTTCTAAAATGCGTTGCAATGCGTCGAGGCCGAGAATCAAGAATCACAAGTTTAGGCATGTCAATACGAAGAATAAGCGTCATAATAATGCGTCGAGGTCGAGAATCAAGAATCACAAGTTTAGGCGTGTCAATGCGAAGAATAAGCGTCATAATGCGTTTCGTATTTTTAAGGTATTAAATATATTTTTATATAAAAAAATAGATTTTTTAATATATCATTAAATAAAAAAAAAATTTAAAAGGGATTAGGCAGGATAATGTGCGCATTAGGCAAAATAGATTTTTTAATATATCATTAAATAAAAAAAATTTAAAAAGGGATTAGGCGGGATAATGCGCGCCTAAGCGCGCATTAGGCGCGCCTTTTAGATGGAAAACGCATTTTTGGCGCATTTCCCGAATTCGACGCGTTGTCGGTCCGTGTCGCGCCTAGGCGGCGCATTTTGGCGCTTTTTAGAACATGCAATTAAGCTAGTGTTTGATTCGTGTGTTTGAGCCATATTATTTTGGAAGAATATATTTTGGAATAGTAGAGTGATGGGAAATGTGTGGTTCAAAAAGAAGGAAAAATTATTGATGTGATAAAAATATTATTTTATTAAAAAATATGTGGTTGAAAATGAGTAGAAGAATAAAAATGAAAATTTTAATATGACTCAAACATGGACTTATTAAGATTTTAATGAGCCATTACATTTTATAACAGTAATTTTAATGGTAAAATATTCATCTTGCTCATCATATTTGTCAGGAGATGAAAAATTTCACTGATTCCATTCGAGCCCACTGATTAATTAATCAGTGGACTCCACCTTAATGTGTCACATTATAAAATTTACAATGTGTTAATAATTGTAAAAGAGGATTTATTGTTCCACTTAAACAGTTAGTCAAATTTACCCTTGGTTTTTTTTCAAAATTCTAGAAGAAATCAACACGAGCCAACTCGTGGGCATAATGTACTGTAAGGTTGACATTTAAATCACCAATTTTTGAACTGCCATGTCATCCTTTATAAGTCAACATAGCTGCAGGGAATGAAAATGCTTTTTTTTTGCCTTAAACGGAGCCCAAACTTTTGTGCGTGATTTATTTCGACAGTGACCTATAGCCACAGTAAGCTCATGTTTGGTCCGAATTAAAATCTAATTTTAATCTAAATTAAAAACTTTTATCACAATCTACTAAAAAATTAATTTTAATCTCCCAATAAACACTATTTAATGCAAGTTACAAAATGAGCCCAAATGTTGATATACTTTTGGCCACTCTATAAAAAGTTAAATATTTGGTCCATTTAAAACATACTTTATTTTAGTCCATCAACTTTCAAAAATCATAAAATAAAATTTATAAAACAAATATTTTTATTCTAAAATTTTCGGGGTGTTACACCCTTCCTCTCAAAACTCAAGTTTGGAGAGGCTTTACAACTCTATCTGTCCATCTCTATTGTGGCAGTTAGCGCAGGTCTCATAAGAGAAGAAGATACCCTCCAATTACATATCTATTATGTGAGTAATGCACTTTTCGCTGCAGAAACCCGCTATCATGATATGGAAAAGTTAGCTCTAGCCTTGATCATTGCATTCAGAAAAGTTGAGGCCATACTTTCAAGTTCACACAATACAAAAACCCGACTCTTCGGGAAGGTTGCTAAAATGGGCGGTTGAGCTCAGGGAGTTTGACATTGTCCTCAAAACAATAAATAGTATCAATGGCCTGGCCCTCAAGGACTTCATGGTAGAATTTGCCAACATCGCGGAGTTGGACTAAATAATGGAGACTGCGGAACCTCTTACTTGGAACTTGTTCCTAGATGGTTCATCTAGGGACGTAGGCTTAGGAGTGGGTATGGTCCTGGTTAGCCCCGAAGGGCACAAGCTCAACTGTGCAGTGAGGTTTGTTCAAGGATACCAACAACGCAATGGAATATGAAGCAATACTGGCTGGCTTAAGGTTAGCTAAAGAAATGCAAGTGAAGATGTTGCTCATTAATAGTGATTTCCAATTAATAGTAAGCCACGTAAATAACAACTTCACAGCTAGAGACAAGAGCATGGCCGCGTACCTCAAATTGGTGCTGGATTTACTCCCATCTTTTGAGAAATTTGAGTGGGCTCAAATCTCGCGTATTGAAAACGCCCATGCCAATGCCTTGTCTAAGCTGGCTAGTAGTAAGAACTCGAAATTACTAACGATTGTGCCAATTGAACACCACTTAGAGCCTGCTAAAGGGAAAGAGGTAATGTAGGTAAAAGGAACGCCTACCTGGATACAATCTATAGGGCCTTTCTTAAACATCAAACCCTCCAACAATAAAGAAGAAGCTTACAAATTTAGGAGAATGGCAACCCACTTTGTATTCCAAGATGATGTGATCTACAAAGAGGTTTCTCCTTCCCCCTCATCTGGTGTATGGGAAGGGAGGAAGCCACCTACATTCTCCGCGAAATTCATGAGGACGTTTGCGGCAATCACATTGGTCAAAAAAATACTATGGCAAGTGTAACGCTCTAACCCGCATGAACCGAAACGTTACTAGAACAATTGTGTGTGTGTGTGTATATATATATATGCTGTTTTGCTTTTCCTTCTAAAGCGGAAAATACCAAAATAAATTCGTTTACATAGTTATCAAACTCGAAACTTCACGAAATTTTAAGGAATCGTAAGAAACATCTTATAGTATGACATATCAAAAAATAGGCTTCCGTTGAAAAGATATGAGTTACTAAAATATTTTTCAAAATCCCGCAGCGATTCGGTTTGGAAGATAACCAGTGATGTTTACTTATAATGACATATAAAATTTTACAGATATCGGATTGATATAATTTCAAGTTTATACAGTAGCTAACCCATGAGGGTATCAAACCTCACTTGTTTTGTCCAAAATATCCGAATAACGATTGAGTTATGAATTTTTGAAGTCAAGGGCAGAAGCTGAAATTTTAATAAAAACAATAACACTAAATCTTATCGCTAACATTTTGTGATAAACGATAACTTGTAAGTTAATTTCTATAATATATAACTACTTTTAAACATAATTTATTCATAAAATTATTCTTAGAATAGTTCCACATATGATGTTCATAGAAATCTATTTATTAAAAAATATATATAAACGTTTCATAATCGAATTAAAACATTAAGTCATCGGCTTCCCACGACACGATGCGTCTTTATCTACTATCATCCACGCCCAAGCAAATCAAATCAACCTGTAGGAAGGAAATTAACCAATGTATTTGATACTCAATAGATATCATCGATACATTTTGTTATCGAATTAGTAAATTCGAACTATATATTCATACCATCGCACGTAGATGGATTTTTGGCAAAATCCGATTTCTATAGAATTATCATAACACGTAGAGATGGAGAATGATCATTCAAACTATAGTAGTGCCAAAACATCGTACCCGAAGGCACCAATTCATTCATACTTTAACAAATATTCATAACTTGAAAACAAAATAACCACATGCAGCTCTAGCAACCTTAATTTTCTTGAAATATAAATGAACAAAACGTGTAAAAGCCTTTTTTCTTAACACCCTGCTATTCTTTTAAACTTTACTTAACATAAAATATATTTTTTGGGAGAAAATAAGAGTAATTTTGGATTTGAGATGAGGTGTAGTTAAAAAATAATTTTCCTCTTCTTGTAACCTTCCTTTTTATTGAAATACTAAATGGAAGAGTTATATTATCATTAATCTTATTAAATTAAGTCTTTAATTAGGAATTTAAAGAGTTTTAAACCCATAAAAAATAATTCTTATAATTTTTTTATAAAACATTTACATAATAAAAAAAATAAAGAAAATGAAATATTCATATAATTGTAACTTATCTCTATGAATGCCCACTAATAAAACAATTATTACATTCAATTAACTTGATACAATTGTTCTTAATGTACAAAAATAAGGATGACCACTGTGGTAACCCAGTCATTCATTAATTTAATGTCTTAAATTATTGGGCTTTGAATAACTTATGGCTTGTACTTTCATAATCTTAAATGGGTTGATGTTCCATAGCATGTTTCTTAAATGTCCTACATCAACCACCGTAAGAATATAAAATTTGGGACCCTACATCCTTCACATCTTAAAACAATTTCGTCCTCGAAATTACCTTAAATTAAACAAACAGTGTCGGATACTTAGTATAAATTTCTGCTTTTGTTTCCCAAGTGACTTCTTTTATCTCGTGATGTCGCCACTGAACCTTAACTAATATAATTTCTTTAGTCCTTAATTTCTATACCTTTCTGTCCAAAATAGCAATTGGAACTTCTTCGTATGATGAGTCTTTCTAAACATCTAATATTTGATAATTCACCACATGACTTGGACAGTCCACATATTTTCTTATCTTAGACAAGTGAAGCACATCATGTACGATAAAAAGTTCGGATGGTAGAGCTAACCGATACGCTACGATACAAACCTTCTCAAGAATTTCAAAAGGTCCTATATAACGCGTTCTCGGCTTGCCTTTATTACCAAACCTTAGTACACCCTCATAGGTGCCTCTTTCAAGAAGACATTTTCACCGACTTGAAACTCCAAGTCTTTTCTTCTGGTATCTGCATAGCTCCTTTGTCTATCTTGTGTTGCCTTTATCCTAGTATGGATTTTATCAATGGTTTCAACTGTCATTTCAATGATATCGGGTCCCAAAACTCTCTTTTCTCTAACTCTATCCCAATGAACAGGTGATCTGCATCTTCTACCATAAAGAGCTTCATACGGTGCCATTCCAATAGTTGCTTGAAAACTGTTATTATATGTAAATTCCACCAAATGTAGATACGATTCCTAATTGCCTCCCAAATCTAGAACATGAGCTCCTAGCATGTCTTCCAAAGTTTGAATGGTCATTTTAGATTGACCATCGTATTGACGATGATATGCCGCACTGAAGTTCAATTTTATTCCCATAGCTCCTTGTGAACTCTTCCAAAATTTAGACGTAAATCTCGAATCTCTATCAGACACAATAGAGATGGGGACACCATGCAATCTTACAATTTCTCTAATGTATCGTTGAGCTAGTTGATCTAGGCTAAATATCATTTTCACTAGAAGAAAATGAGCTGACTTTTTTTTAAGACAATTCATTATTACCCATATATCATTATGTCATCTTGCTAACTTCGAAATCCTACCACAAAGTCTATTGCGATATTCTCCCACTTCCATTTCGGTATGTTCAATGGATTTAAAAACCCTACTAGTCTTTGATGTTCTGCTTTAGCTTGTTGATACACTATACATTTTGCCACAAATAGGCCTATACTTCTTTTCATATTCCTCCACCAAAATGTATCTCGATACATTTTCGTACCACCAGTATGTGCGGTGTATGGGGTGAAATAAGTCTCTTCCAATATCTCATTCGTCAAAACTTCATCCCTGGGCACACAAATTTTTCCTTTAAATATCAGTGGCCAATACGAAGCATTTTTTCCTATTAGTACCAACGTCTTTCCTGATCTTCTGTAAGAATGGATCTTTACCCCGTGCTTCTATGATCTGATCTCTGAGAGTAGGTCAAACCACCAAAGTTGCTAAATGAGTGGTAACTTGCTTTGGTGTGGTAACCATTTAGTTTCACAAATTTTTCGAGTCTTTGATCAACTCCATCTGAGTAGTAGAAAATGATGCTAACTGTCCCATCGAATTTCTACTTAGAGTATCAGCAACAACATTAGCCTTACCCGAATGGTAATGAATAGTGTAATCATAATCCTTTATTAGCTTCAATTGTCGTCTCTGTCTCATATTCAATTCCTTCCGTGTGAAGAAATATTTGAGACTCTTATGATCCGTGTAAATGTTGCACTTTCCTCCATATAAATATTAGCGCCATATTTTTAATGCATGAACTACTGCCGTAAGTTCTAGATCATGCATCAGGTAATTCTGCTTATGTTGTTTCAATTGCCTTGACACATAGGCAATCACTTTTTTCATGCTGCATCAATACACATCTCAATCCTTGTTTGGATGCATCACTATATATAATAAATCATTCTGAACTTTCGGGTATTTTTAACACGGGTGTAATCTTTCTATAAATCTTCGATTGAACTTAACTAATCCTAGAAAACTTCGAACTTCACATGAATTTTAGTCTCTCAACTTTCAAAAATCATAAAATGAAATTTATAAAACAAATAATTTTATTCTAAATTTTCGGGGTGTTACATTGAACCTTAAGGGTACCTAATTTTGCGGAAAGAGAGCTTACCTAGATATTATTAGGTGATATTATTAGGTCCGAACTATGCGCCCGTTGCTTCCTTACATATATATATTTTTGGAAAAAAAAAATTAAAATTTTCTAATAATTTTTTTGCGTCAAATTGTAATTAATCAAATTGTTGAGTGCTGAATGAAATTATATTCCCACAGTCTTTTAAACTCAAACCTTTGACTGCTTTCGCAGAATTTTTCTGGGTGTAATCGACATCTTCTGTAATAGATATCTGTGATCAACGCAATCAATGTCTGTAATTGACATCAACATACGTTTAGTTTCGATTTAGACATAAATCTATGTACGTTTGAAAGGTTATTTGAGCACTCACCACTTTTATAAAGAGGCTTGTAGGTTATTTTAATGGCCACGAATAATCTTCAAATAACCTCCTTTTATTCCAGAAAAAAATTATATCATTTTCAAATGCAAGTATTCGTACTTTGAATTTCTATTCTTTCTAAGTTCTGGTTCTATTTTTTGAGTTGAAAAATAATGTATTGAGTTCGTTGGAACTCTTGCTGATTGATATGCTGCTTTGATAAGAGATGAAATTAATTTTACCCTAAGAAACGATTGCTGATTACCTTTAAACACTTTTAAGAAACGATTGCTGATTACCTTTAAATACTATAGAAGTGAGAAAATTCGCCTTAAGGATAGATTGGGAAGTCAGTCAACTCAAATTAAGCTAGTGTTTGATTCGTGTGTTTGAGTCATATTATTTTGGAAGAATGTATTTTGGAATAGTAGATTGATGGGAAATGTGTGGTTCAAAAAGAAGGAAAAATTATTGATGTGATAAAAATATTATTTTATTAAAAAATATGTGGTTGAAAATGAGTAGAAGAATGAAAATGAAAATTTTAATATGAATCAAACATGGGCTTATTAAGATTTTAATGAGCCATTACATTTTACAACAGTAATTTTAATGTTAAAATATTCATCTTGCTCATCATATTTGTCAGGAGATAGAAAATTTCACTAATTCCATTCGGGCCCACTAATTAATTAATCAGTGGATTTCATCCTAATGTGTCACATTATAAAATTTACAATGTGTTAATAATTGTACAAGAGGATTTATTGTTCCACTTAAACAGTTAGTCAAATTTACCCATGGTTTTTTTTCAAAATTCTAGAAGAAATCAACACGAGCCAACTCGTGGGCAAAATGTACTGCAAGGTTGACATTTAAATCACCAATTTTTGAACTGCCATGTCATCCTTTATAAGTCAACATAGCTGCAGGGAATGAAAATGCTTTTTTTTGTCTTAAACGGAGCCCAAACTTTTGTGCGTATTTATTTCGACAGTGACCTATAGCCACCATAAGCCTCTGTTTGGTCCGAATTAAAGTCTGATTTTAATCTAAATTAAAGTCAAATAATCAATATTAATCACATCTTTCATGAATCTCACAACTTTTCAACCACACGTTTCAAAAACTTTTATCACAATCTACTAAAAAATTAATTTTAATCTCCACTAAACATCCTCTAAGCAGGAAAGAACGTACTTTTGTCATTGCCTTCAAACTTCTAATTTGATTTTGATCAAGTTGATCATATTGTTTCAATTTCGTACTTTAAAGGAGAATTATACTCCAAAAACAACGAAGTCTATAATCCTTATAAGCTTATTAAATTTTATTTTTATTAAAACACACCTTAAGACTCACGACATATAAGCATTTAAAAATTACGTACTATCATTCCAACCAAAAGACGACCTAGAGCACTTTGGCTAAGCTTTAAAAAAAAAAAAAAAAATTAATCCCACTTTTAAGGAATTTTTTGTCTTTAATATATAAATTAGATATTTAAAACCAGTGGTGCAAGAGTAGGTTCAATTATATGAGTTATGTGACTTTACATTTAAATGAATCTATAATTAATGTCGTGTAATTGTCACTTAAACTAGTGCTTCATACCAATTGTAGATCTTTACTATCAAAATAAAAAATATATATTTAAGTAGATGTAACAATTATAGGTGTGCACATTTGTATAACAAAAAATAATGACGATTTATCATGTTCTGATTCATGTAGGGTGATCGTTTCAGCTTGAACAAACAGTTGCAAAACCATCAAACTACAATATCACGCCTTGCTCATTTACTTGGAAGTATGGGTCTAGCCAAACACCATCTCAGGACGTGCTTGTACAATGTTTACATAGGAAGCAACGACTACCTTAACTACTACTTGTTGCCACGATTTAACTCCCCTAGTAGATTATATACACCACAACAATTTGCTCATATCTTGATTCACCAATATTCCCAACAACTAAGGGTCAGTATGCCTTTCTCTTTATATAGATTGAATTTTTCTTTCTAATTATCTTATGAGATGAAATTGAATTAATTAAAGTGGTTATTTCTATTGGCACTAGACATTGTACAATTATGAAGCAAGAAAAGTAGCAATTTTTGGGGTTGGTCCGATAGGTTGCGCTCCAGCAGTGTTGGCCGTGTATCCTCCTACAAGTGGATCCACATGCGTTGAATCCATTAATGATGTAGTTGAACTATTTAATAACAAGTTGAAGTCACTTGTGGACACCTTCAATAAAGATCTAAATGGTGCAAATTTCATCTATATAAACATCAGTGGCATTTCACAAATTTCGCCCAGAGATATCTCCGCTTTTGGTACGTTTTCACAAGATAATGTCTCAAAGCGTTGAAGATATAAATATAAATGTCGTCTCACTATGAGATTGGTTTATGATATTAAGGTGATGCAATTATTTCAGGTGTTAAATTTGCCAATGTCTCATGCTGCACAAAATCGAGATCCGTTTCTCAAGGACAGTGCACGCTCGGAAAAGTTCCATGCAGTAATCGGAGTGACTACTTATTCTACGACAATTTTCACTCTATGGAGATTTTTAACAAGCTCACTGCAGCAAGAGCGTACAATGCGACTTTACCAACTGATACTTACCCAATAGATATTCGTCGTCTTGCTCAACAATAATAATTGTAAGATAGCTCGAATAATTTGTGATTGATGATAATTGGACAGGACAATAAATGATCTAATGTATCTTTTCTTTAATAATCTCTTGATGTGTCCCACCTAACATACCGAGCATGCGACAACACAAATGTACCCATTTTATGACCATGAAAATAATTATATTTTGTTATATTTTATTATGTCCGTGCTTTACAAAATATTTTTTATATAGTTCAGTTCAAGCAAATATATGCAAGGGCGATTTACATAAATAGGAAAAAAAAGTAGGGGTTGAATTCAAATATATTGATTTTTGTCAACATGTTAAGTACAATCTACTTAACTTTTTTACGTGTATATAGGGACCAGACTATAAAGCCAAATTAAAAAAACTCCGGGCTTGCTTTATCAATTCTCATCTATGAGTGATGATTCTTCTCTCTCTTGCTTGCTTCGATCAGACTCTAACAATTTAGGGAAGTATAATGGGTAACTAACAAGGCCACTGAATGACTACTCAGAAGGCCTAGCTCTTGTTTTCTCAATCTGTCACTTGCTCGTCTCACACTCATGAAAATTATCTCTACTCTCCCAGCGGCATTGATCCATGTCTATAGCCAGTTGCTAAGACGATTACCATTCAAGCATTCTCATTCAACATTCTATCAATGTTGTCCTTATTCTTTTTGTTTCAAATTCCTTTCATTAGTTCTTACATTAGCAATTTGCAGGAAGTAGGCAAAGTCTTTCCTTCCGAAAATACCAACTATAAATAGCTTTCGCATCCTTTGAGCTGAAAAGGTGTTATAGATCTAAGAGGAAGGTTTGGAACCCTAGTAGCAGAATGGAATCAATTTACCGGATTGACTACCATGCCAACACTAACTCGTAAGGGCATTGAGAATTGTTTTAGCTTTTCTTCCTCGAAAGTCTTTGCATAGTTTATGAATTCTGCTTAATAGTAGGGGTGTCCAAAAGTCCCGAACCGAATTGGACCGAACCGAACCCGAACCGAATCGAGCGGTTCTTCATAAATTCAATACCCGAACGGGTACCCGAATCGAGAACCGATGGGTTTGGGTCGGGTCTAGGGTCTAGATCAAGAACCGAAGAATCGAATAAGAACCAAAACTAAATAATTTTTTAATTTTNATTGGTTGTATTTATGTAGTGTTGCTGTAAATATTAAAAAAATTGATTATGGTACGGAACTGAACCAACCCGAACGGAACCGAACCCGAACGGTTCCATAATTATAGTTAGACCCGACGAGTCCATTTATTAAATACCCGAAAGTTTTGGGTCGGTTCGAGTCTCCTCAGAATCGAACCGAACCGACCCACGGACAGCCCTACTTAATAGGAACCTAAATACAAGAATGATTTTTCTTAGAGTCAAACCACACCTTATGATGAAAAGGCGAGAAAGGATGGATCATATGTCAATCAGTGATCAAAGAAAACTATACTTGAAGAATGTGATACAGATTGAGGTATGTGATTTTTTTTAAAAAAATATTTTGATAAATTACTTAGTAATTTTTTTATATTGATTTTAAGTAACAAACCGTGTAATGATAATGCTACATCCCTGCATTACTAATTATTGTGAATTTTTGTTTTATAGCAACGAATACATATAGCAATTTTTTTTCATAAATGAGCATTCGCTCTTATTAATAGCACCTCACTTGTGGCGGAGGAATACCGTGATTACAAATCAAATAAAACCAGCTAAACTGTTTTTGTTACTCTTCTCCAAAACTCCTAATAATCTAAAACAACATTGAAAAATTTAAAGTCAGACTGTGGGAAGAAGAACCTCTTAAATTAGGAATACCTAGTTTATCCATTCACAAAGCTCCTCTAACTGATGATGGGATGGTGATAGAATCCATCCAGATCTGTGAAACACTATACCCTCCCAGTTTTGATACGATATCGATCAGCTACTGAATTACCCTCGCAATGTATGTGCTGAACTCTACATGAGATCATAGACAATAGGTATTGTATATCTTTCCAGTAATCCTCTAAATACCAAATACCACAAACCTTCTTCTTTAGCCAATTAACAATAATCAATGAGTCGAGCTCCACTTCAAGTCGGTTAATTCCCATCCTTTTAGCATGTCGGAGCCAATATGATAATGCAAGTAGTTTAGCACCAAACCATGCTTGCTGGATGCGGGTTGAAGGATGAAACTTTGGGTTGAGCCAACGACAATAAACAAAGGCGCTGTTTGGGAGGCAACCAATGGGAGTTCGTTCATTTCTTTTGCTGTTTATTTTTGTATTTATATTCTAGTTAATTTATGTCATTTTCTTTGCATTACTAGTTCATTGAGTACGTTCAGGCTTCATATCATTCAAGTTTATGTTGACTCACTGCATCATTTTTGTGATATCTCTTCATTTTTATGCATTAAGGACAATACAAAA